ACCAGCAAACCCTGAATGGTATATTTCAAAATGATTAAAAAATGGATCTTGCTTAGTTCTTCCTCATTAAAAACTCAATTTTTTTCTTAGTTATTCTTTTGGCCTATGTTTCACTGATACACTTTTGTATTTATGACATCACAAAGTTTATTATTAGAGCTTTAGGGAAAACTCTGAAACTGTGAATCAAACACTGAGATATTTATTCCACAGTCAGGTTGCATTGGGCCAAGTTAAGTACTTGGAATTTCTATCTAAATTTTATAAACCACTTGTTCAGATCTATTTAAGTGTTTTGACTGGCTTTATTTTTCAGGGAGATAAGGCAAGTCATCAATATTTAATCTTCAATTCATGATCATACTCCATTTCTCCATTTATTTGTTTATTTTATTTAATTTCTTTCATCATGGTTTTATAATTGTCAGGATAGATACCATATCTATATCTATATCTTTTGTTAAATTCCTAAATGGGTTATTATTTTGATGAACTATATTTTTATTTCATTTTAAAATTTCTTGTTGCTAGTTATAGAAATCAAGGTATTCTGTTTATTTCCAGCAACCTGACTAAATTTCTTTTTAACCTACATTTGGAAATTTTGGGGGAATTTTTATGCTTCCCTGATGAAATCTAGAAATAACTTAGCATTATCTGTTCCTGTACAATTGTGATGTTGTGTCTATGTATTTCCTGAATTGCTGTGCAAGCTAAGATATCCAGAAGATTTTTGAGTATAAAAGATGCAGTCATTGACTTCAAATTAGTTTCATCCTTGAAAGAATGCTCACTGGCTATAAAGTTATTGGTAAGTGCTTGTTTTCACATAAATGTTATTTATATTTCATTGAATTTGCCTCTTATTAATAGGTGTAATATCTTATCAAATACTTTTATTTTTTGCATTTGTTGACATTGCCAAGAAGAATTTCCTCTTAATTCAATTGTGTTATCAATGTGCTGGGGTCTCTTTCTTTGCATGATTTATCTTCAGACGATAATGGGTCCGTGTGTTTTATCTATTTTCCTTTCAAAGTTTGAAATCAATCCTATTGTTTTGCGTTGCAATAGTGAAATTTATAATTATACCTAAGACATGATATCCAGAGCAGTACTGTAAGAATCATACGTGTCCTCTGCATACACAGAGAGAGAGAGAGACAGAGCCAGAGAAACAGAGAGAGACACACACAGAGAGAGAGGCAGAGAGAGACAGAGACAGAGCCAGAGAAACAGAGAGAGACACACACAGAGAGAGATAGACAGAGAGAGACAGAGACAGAGACAGAGACAGAGAAACAGAGAGAGACACACACACAGAGAGATAGACAGAGACAGACAGAGACAGAGACAGAGAAACAGAGAGAAAAAAATTGAACCACTATTGTGTTACTAACCAAGGAGAAGTGAGGGCAATCCCATGGGGATATTTTAATCAGCCCTGACATCCAAGCCCATGGTTCAGAATGATTTAAATGGTCTGGGACAAAGAATAGTTAACCGTCTGCAAAATGCCCGTGATCTTTCGTTAGCATGGGCGCACTGATTTAGCACACGGTGTGCCTGCCACCAGTGTCACTAAGAGGCAATGGAAAGCCCCAGTTCAGCATTATTCACCACCAACTAAACACTGCAAGGTAAGTCTGTTATCAGGGAACAAATTAAATCTTCATGCTCAACAGCTGCACACAGCTAGGGAAACACGAGAACAGAAAGTTCAATATGTTGCATAATTATTTTTCTGAGATAGCATATGGTAACATGACTGCAGTGATGTGTTTAAAGATATTACATAACAAATGGAAAACTCTAGAACTTACTCTGTTTATGACAAAATCTTTTTATTAAGTTAAATCTAATGTCACATAAGGAAGTTTGCCACAGCTGTGTTTCTACAATATTAAGTATGCTAATCAATTTTATATGAAAATTTGTGGCTTTTTCTGAGACTAGATTAACCCCAGTGTGATGTAACTGTAGGTTAGCTCATCAGAGAGAGGAATGGCTAAAAAGGCCTAACCCTACAGAGGGGCTTCACAGATCCATTTGGGGACTATCCAGGGGAAGTTCACTTACACTAAGCTCAGCATCTACTACCTAAGGCCTTTTGCTTTGCTGATACAGGGAAGAGACCTGTGTGCTCTCCAACCCCACACCTGGGGTTAGCATATCACTGTTATATGCCACTAAATTAGATAAACTATTATAGTCAGTCAGACTGTGCTAGGCCCTCAAAGGAGCCAACGCAGAAGGCAAAATTGCTTGCAACTGTGGGAGAGACAGGCATGTTCAGCTGTGAGCCAGACCGCAAGACAAAAGATGGAAAAATGGTACCCATGGGCTTCTTAAGGATACACATGAGGGACTGATATTCTAAATAGGTCTCTACCACCTTGACAGAGCCAGAAAGAGTCACTCATCCAACCATCTACAGAGAAAAACCCTGCTTTGTGTTCATGCCTGCTTGCTATGTGACTCACTTCCCTATTAGATCCCAATTTAATCAATTTTACCTGAGAAATTCTGCACATAATCTCATTGGTTGAGCCTAGTTTTGTCCCATCTCATGGCACCTTGCGATTTCCCATTCTTCCCACTTTGCACCCACCTCACGTTCTGGATTTCCTCTATAAAGATCCCTAGAGAGGCAACCTACTTGGACTCTTTCTGTCCTTCTCTCAGACAGAAGCTTTCTTTCCACAAATAAATATATTCTGCTCTTAACTTCCATTGTTCCTACAAGTCATTCTTTAATTTTAGAGAATATGAACCAGATATCTAGCAGGTTGAGGGGTTTCTTTGCTGTTTGCCATTCTGCATAAGCAGACACATGGCACTCTGCTATAATCAGAAAATACAAGTGCTATTTCCCTTCTGAAGACCAGTAGGTGTCAACAGCACGATGAAATTGGCCTCTACAGTCACACTTGAGGACCCAGGAAGGTCCGCACACCCAGGAATAGCTCTTTTAGTCATGTGGACAAAACCTGCATGCAGAACCACTGATGAGTTTTTGAAAGTGAAATGTATCAAGAGTTTTCTGCAAATAAATATATTGATTAACAAAAATGTCAACAGAAGGAAAAGCTACTTACACCAGAATAGAAAGGCTCACCCGACACGCATATCACGTCCTGCTCCTGGATGATCAGAATGTCTTTGGCTAGGTGCAGCCGGACTTTGAAAGGCTCCTGATTACCATCCTGCAGCAAACAAGTCCCTGTCTTTGTCTTCAGACAGAAAAAGCAAAACAGAAAGAGAGGCGTTCTTAGTTCATACTTTCATGGCCTGTTTACAGCAAAGCATGACGCATAATATTTTAGGACTGAGGAAACCGCATTGAGGTGGGACTGAATGGAACCATTTAGGTGTAGAGGAGAAGTATACACACGCTGAGCAAAAAGAGCATGCAGTAATCAATATTAGGTTTAAGAATCCATACGGATTTGGAGACGAAGATTATGGCAATATGCTGCACTGAATTTGAAAAACATTGAAAGCTTGGTTTAATATGTATAATCTAAATAAAAACAACAGCTTTATTGGCATACAATTCACATTGCATGAGAACACATCTCTGAC